TCGTAATCTAAAAGGTCCTTTCACTGGATGTTAACTTCATTAGACCATGACTATTTCACATCCAGTGAAAGGACCTTCGTAATCTAAAAGGTCCTTTCACTGGATGCTAACTCCATTAGACGATGGACTATTTCACATCCTGACAAGAAATCCTGTTAGATGAGTTGCTGCATGTCCCTTATGGACCATTCTAACAAACACTATGCCCTACGGTGTATCACGCTCTCTAATTAGTCAAATATTTTGGCTATTGACAAATAAATACCTTTATTGTAGTTGTCTCGTTCTTGTCACAGATAACTCTCTTTGGGTCAAGCATCAGAACATTCATGGACAACCATTTGGATGACATCCACAGAGGGTGGTCGTCAGGAATGAGTGGGGTGGGTGGGTGCACGACTTTCCATCCGGCTTTATGGAACATGTCTATCTGATGGCAAGGCCTGTCAGGGTTTGACAACACAAGTCCTGGACCAATGATATTGAAAGTAGCGTCTATATGCATGGGGTTAGGATCCTTAAAGGAGATGGTGTGTACGTTATACTGGTTGCCAAGGTGACGAGACAGCCACTCGATACCCATGTAGTTTGTAACCTGTCGTATATGGATAGTCAGTTGATAATAATAATAATAATAATAATAATAATAATAATACTTTATTAGGAGCATTTTTACAAAGTCTCAATGTCCTTACAAGAATGAATAAACTGAAATGAAGAAATAGAAACATAAGAGGTTGGACTGGACGTTGGTTGACTGAACTGCAAATTTGTTTTTCAAACTTTCATCTTTTGAAAGAGTAGGGATGATGTTAACGTACAGAAAAACATGCACAACCTCTAGAATTTGATTTGTGCTTATTAATTCCGAATTTTGAGAGATTTTGAATTTTTGGAAAATCCGGAACCGAGCATGGAGGGACTGGACTGGACTTTGATTAACTGGATTGTCCGGATCAAAAACGTTTATAACTCCGAATTTGCATCTTTAATGCCTTAATTTTTACTTGAATATCAACAACTAGCAATGATATGACGAAATTTTGCAAAAAAAAAAAAAAAAAAA